CACTAGTTTGTGTTTAGTTGACTAGGGCTCTTCTTGAGAAAGAAATCCCACGTCTCCGAAATTGATCCAACATGATATTGGGGTGTACTCAAGAGATTGACAGCCCCAATAAAAGGGTTAAACCTCGAGAGAGTAATACCCGACTTGAACCCTAAGTTGCTTGTGTAAATTTGCATACCCAATTGGTCTTGAGAAAGTCAATTGGGCAAAATCACTTGAACCACTGAGAGGTGTAGAGTGGGTAAAGTAGTGCAATGGTTATATCATACTCCCCAATTATGTCAATTGTGCCTCAGTTTCAAGTACCCGTCAATTGACCACCTAGGTGGATGTCACTACCCTAGTGCCTTTAACTATTTGAACAACCCGTAGCATCTAACTCTTAGCTTAATTTACAATTTGTAGTTTGTTAACAGTAGAATTAAAAAAGAACCCCAAAAATGATTAGAAGTGTAATTTTGAACTCTGCGCAATTCTAAACTAGAAAGATACTCGACTCCATTTCTAGATCTCTGTGGATACCGATCCCGACCCAAAATCAGGTAAAAGCTACTCCGACCCTCTCTCACTACATAATTAGTAGTGCGGAGTAGGCCACGATCAGCAGTTTTATCATCAAATGCTTTCATCACTCGGAGGGCTTTCTTGACATCCTCTAGCCACAACATTGGATCTTCATCAACTATAGAACCATGGAACACTGGAGGACTCAACTTCAAAAATTCATTCACTCTTGAGGACTCAGAATTGTTCTTTCTCTTTATTGAGGTGGAATCTCATCTCTTCTCTCATTCTGGTTGGCCATAAAGGCTTTAAACATCTCCATAGCACTGTTGACAACATTAAACATCTGAACCACCTCGGGAGATATAGTTTCCTGAGCCGGAGCTGTCGTTGGGGGCGGTACTGGATCCTAAGGTACTGGATCATTATGCTCCACCCCTTCTTCATGTTCAACCCGGGGTACTTGAACCCCCTCTGTGGATTTACCCTTCCTTTTCTTAGTTGAAGCCTTTTTAGTTCTGCCTTGAGCCACAATAGTAGCAATAGTTTCTTGAGCATCATCCTAAGTGTCTGTGTTAGAGTTGCGAGTACGAGCCATTTCTGCGAGTTTTGAAAAAATGAATACATTAGATAATTTCTTAGAGGTAGGATCTACTGCACGATCTAAAGTATGAGAAAAATAAAACTTTTCCTAAATGTTGGTAGCCTCATATTTATAAGTATGGCGCGCTTCACACCCATAAATAAGAATCTACTATCATGGCTTCATAAACCCCTAGGACTCCATAAACCTGAGGCTCTGATACCAAGTTTGTCATGACCCATTTTCTGAACAAGCCGGGACCGACACTCGATCACTAAACATGACCGAGCGAGCCATCTCTGCTTATCAAATCTATTATAACTACAAACTTTATATGCAACAAGGCAATACTCTAACTAAATACTTTTGATTAATTTAAATAAATTAATTCCAAAACTTTATTCATAGTAACTACTGAATTACTGCTAAGTTATTATCAAAGAACGTCTAAATCTTAACCCAACGACTATGTCTATGAAGCCTCTACTGATAAACTGACGCACTGCTCAGGACATGAGATTTCCTGAACAGTTCTCTAAGTAAACAAAGAAATAACTAAATAAAGATGACTCTAAGGAATACTCCACGAACAAAAGCGGAGCTCACCAATAGCACTGGAAGAGAAGGAAGTCCTAACCAGTAACCTGCGCACCTGCAAAACCGGTTCCTATGTTATACCGCAGACCAACGTAAGTTCCCAAAAGAGAACGACAGTACCATCCATTGTACTCAGTGAGTCTCAACAACAGGGGGCGAAACTTTAATAACATATACATTACGAGTAAAGGTTCTAAATGCATGTAAAACATAAAACTTATAAGAATAATTCTAAATAATTGCATAATAGCAGTTTATGAATATTCTAAAAGAAATTCTTTTCTTTTTTTTGTTATAAAAAAAATACTTCACTTTATACTTTGGGATTTTCAACTATCCTGACTTAATTATGTCTCAGTCACCGTGTGATCGGCACGAGTTCGATCCCAACCTGATCGAATAGGCCCATCCACGAGGTGCCACTCGCTTCACGGTTCTCAGCGCTCATGTATCATATCTTAGCATGGCTAAGTAAATTCTCAGCAACGAGACCCTTGGCTCGTGTGCTCCCCACTTTGGCACAAGTAGTTTCAGGAAGTCAAAGCCTTGGTTAGGACCTTCGGCCTGGACGATGAACCCTTCTCAGAATAAAGGATACTTCCAAAAATCTTTTCTTTCTAAAACTTCTTCTTGTGACTTTTCAAGTCTAGATCCTTTCTTTATAGAACATCATGTACATGCTCATGCTGGTATCTTTAAATGTAAAGCATGACATAAGAATGAATAAACATGTAAAAGCGTTTCTAAAGATTCTTGCTTCTTCATAAATTTTCAACATGAAAATAGCATATAAGAATAACACAAAAATCTGAAGATTTATACCCATATATCATAATAAATCATCTAAACTTTTGCTAGAACAATTCTAAGTTAATAGGTACTCACTCGCTCCAATTAAGTAAATATAAACTCTTTTAAACAATTCATCAAACACCGTGTATGCGTGCTTTTGTGAGTTAAACCACTTTAGTAAAAGGTTATATCAACTCAACTTAAAATTCCTTGAGCTAATACGCAGGCCCCAGTCCAATTTATACCCGTCAAATAATTGATTCTACAACAACCAATGCATTTTAATCAATTTTAAAGTTTCTCACCTAAACATGAAATTTACTGTTGATACAGAGAAAGAAGGGAATTAACTATTCAATTCTTACCTATTACTACTATAGGATAATTGACAATAGGAAATTTTATATACCTGAGTTTAAGAATTTGTGATTTGTAAAGAACCCTAGAATTTTCGTTGTCTGCGTAAATCATCTTGCTGCCTTTGTTTCTCGTTCTGTTCCTCTTTTTTGTATGAGGCTTGCGTGATTTTAAGCTTCTGTTTTGTTCCTATAAGACTTTTCAGCCTTCAGACTTGTTTTTTGATTAAGGCTTTCAAGCCTTTTGCCCTAAAGAAATACGTTTCCAGCCATTTTATGGGCACCCCTCTCTTTTGTTCTTTCCTTTTTTTTTTGTTTTATTGCTTTTCCCTTTTTGTTTTGTTTTAACTTAACTAATATTTAATGATACCCATTTTTAGTAATTAATAATATTAAAATTATTAATATTCCCATAATTATATATCCAACTATTTATAAATAGGAAAGTAACTCAAAATCAATTACAAGGATTTAAATCCGTACTAGCAGTATAATATAAGGAAAAAATAATAATTCTATATTTAACGAGTGTTTAAACTTCTATAGATTTAAGGAGTGTTACATCCATGAAGTCCAACAGTCCGTGTATCATTTACATTGTTCATCCTACACTGAAAATCCAAAGGGTATAAACTTCTATACTCCATGTTGTGTATACAAAGAAGAAAAACCTAGTCGATTGAAAATAAAGAAAAAAATTTGCATATTGTATGGTCTGTCTTGATTGGTTCTTGTATTAGCTCATAACATAGCATTACTTGCTTCTTTGTATTACATGTATGACGACTAATGCCAGTTAAAAGTAGGATGCCAATTATCCCTATGTATTTTGCATGTGTTGCAATACCACCGTACGTCCAAATTCATTTTTGAAAATGTTCATGAAGCATTTGTTAATACTTTTTCAGAATTATATCATTCTTGAATCGGGGTTGTACTTGATCGGTCAAATTATACTTCTTTAATTCTCACTTGCCAGCTTCATTTTTCCATGAATGGAAGTATTAGCCCACATACAGAAATAGAAACCAAAGGGTTGCACAATAGATGAGTCTTGGTTTGGACGTAGCTATATCCCTAGAAAAGGACTATTTTTTTATTTTTATTGATTAGCTTACCAGAAGGTTTTACTTGCAGGGGAGCTATTGGGCAGCCAAGGCTATTGGTTCCTGTTGCTTTAATTTGGTCATGATTTTTAACCGGTTACCACTATTACCATCTTGAATAAAATTATATATATGGAATAGAGATTTGATGTTAATGAAGCTACCCTTCTTGAATATGTTCTTTGACGATATTGAGGACAATAAAAACCATTAAATTCCTTGTAGATGTCAAGTAAGTAGTTAGAAAATGTATATATTCAGAAAATTGCAGTCAAGGAAAACATCTTTTTTGTTTCAGAGAAGATTAGAAAAGAAAAACCAGTTTCTTTTATTTGCATGACTCAAGTTGGAGAGTCATTCCCGTTGAATATTTTAAATCCATTTAATTTCCCACAATTTTTCTGCTCATTCAATGCATAAAAATTAAGGGGAATTAACTTTTTCCGCATATCCCTTTTCCTACTACCCTTGCAAACCAAAGGATACCTTAATGAGTTCTCCTTCGTTGTTGTAGAGAAAGTATTAATGCTTATACCTTGTTGAGAGTCGCTTAAGCATCTGGTCTTTCAAACTGCTATATTGGTTTCTTTGCAGGATCCTAGTCCGCAATTATGGATTCATGCACCTCGAGATGATATCCATGCTAGTGGGATTTTTCACTTACAAAATTGCAACTTTTGTCCAAGCAATCGAAAAAGGTGTAACTATTGTTCGAAATAAAACACAAGCGCTCTTATAGTCTTATACATCCCCACTTCCCACATCAAATAAAAAATTGTCTTTATTATTTGGAGAGCAGCAAACTAAGATCCATTTTCTTTCTTTTACCAAGTAAGTTTAAATACTCAAAAAAGATTCCTCACAATGCACACACTCACAATCTGCACACACACAATTAATCTAGCCTCACGTACATAAAAATCAAGAGAGAGAAAGTGGGGGACATCATTGAGTGAAGGAGAGGATTTTTGGGAAAAGAGAGAGGGAGTGAGGGATAATATTAAAAAAAAGGGAAACTTTTTTGCATAAAAGGAGGGTTTGGTCTTAGGTTTTAAGGATCTTCTCTTCATCTGATAACAAAAAATCAAAAAAATATACGAAAATTTCTGTTACTTCTTTCAATTTCGGTTTCTGGTGTTCAAACCGGGGAGTTCGAGTCCGAGCATTTTGGGTTCCGATCGGTGGTTCTGTGTCGCCTCGGATTCTCATCGCTGCATTTGCTATTCCAGGTTTCTCCCCTATCTTTGTCTTAATCTGAATTATTGTGAAAAGCATAATGAGAGTCGTTTAAAATTTGGGGCATAAAAATTTTAATTGGTTTTGAAGTTCAAGAATTCTTTTGTTCCCTGTTTGCTTAGAGTGTCTGTGTCTAATTTGAGTTTAAGGCTTTCTATGTTTGACATTAGTATCTGCTGTCGTATCTTGTTTCTTTATTGGTTTCTTTTCCTTATTTGAATCTAATTTAGGATAATAATTTTACTTCATAAACTTCCTTAGTTGTTGCCTACATGAGTTCTTAAACATGATTCTCATACCTTATTTTAGTTGTGATGACTTAATACTAAATTGGTAAAGTCTAGGCAATGTTACATGAGTTTAGTTGATTAAGGAATCAAAAGGAGTAGACATTGCATATATATGTGTGTGTGTATATATATATATACACACAAAATAGTACTATAATGGTCTAGTAACGTATTATATGATTGTTTTGCCTTTGGATATGAAAATTACAATCGGAGATAGTAGGAGGTTGACTATTTTCTAAATTTGCATGGTCAGAAGTCATGAAATTGGATTAGCTAAATTAATGAGCTTTTATTGTTTGAAATTATAGTATACTATCCATGTCTTATAGCTATAGCTGGCAGATTATATTTACTTTTGTTTTATACAATAAGGTTCCCTACGTGATTAAGGGCATGAACTAATCTCAGAATCTTCATAACTTTAGATTGCACCTTTAGTAAAGTTAAATTTCAGCTTTTACATACTTGCGGCTCTTGTCATGCTTGGATCAATTTTCGGTTCCTTTCTTTCTTTTCAGTCTAATTAATTAGCTCTTTCTTCATTTCATGTCTTTGATTGTTACTGTTTACTCGTTTGGTCTTTGTTGAAGTTGTTTGACTGATTGCTGGACCAGGGAGAGTGAAATCACAAATGAAATAAAGATTGAACATGATCATGGAATATCTCTATTTTAGCTTAATTTTGACTTTTCTTTCATAATCGCTAGGAGCATGTTTAGGCCAACCACATTTGGGTAGGCAAGCCTTAAGATTTTCGTTGGTTTCAAGGTGAGAGGTTTTTCCCTTAGTTAAATTTATCTGGGGAATGCCCCGAAGGATTTGTACCTACTTTATTACGGGTAATGCCCCATAGTATAATGTATTTGGAGGCCATGACGAAGCTATGGAACAATATAGTACATGTTAGTATTTAAGATTCTTCCTTATTTCTTTTTTTATATTTTCTTTATTAGGAGGGGACGACCTCGAGCCTTTTTTATGTTTACTTTCCTTTTATGTGTTTTCACCTTAAATTGAATATTTTAAAAATAGACTAGATCAAGCATGCAACCGTACTAGTTACGGGACTTGGGGAGTGTCTAACACCTTCTTCCCGAGTCAAATGAACCCCCTTACCTGAATCTCTGGTGCGGACTTAGTTTTGGAGTCCAAAGTATTTTAAAGGAAATTTTTTTTTTTTAAAACGGTGACCTGGCACACCGAAATCAAAGTCAGGTGGCGAATCTGAGTTATTTCCTTTGGAACACAATTTTGTCACTTTTTAATTAAAAGCCCTTTTGAGCTTTACAAATCTTTTTTATTAATTTAACAGGGTTAAGTGAGTTTGTAAAAAAAGAGTGTGACACCTCTGGCGACTCTGCTGGGGATCTTGCAGGTTTGAGCTGATACTGTGATCTTGTTGGCTTTTTAGAATGTTTGGTTGAAGTTTTTTTTTTTTAGTATTTGCTGTATTTGATTTTTATTTTTGTGTTGTTTTATTATTTACTAGTTGTTTGTGTGTTTACAGTTTTTTTCTTTATGTGTTACTGCTTTATAAATGTCATCATTTACATAACCTCGAGTCAATTCTTTCTGCAACAAGTATCGGAATACATGTCGCGTACACGAACTCTTTGTTGAGTCACCCTTATTTTAGGAGGGGGGTCGTCAGCTATGGAGTGGGTGGAAAGCTTGAGCAGCCACTATCGACCATACACTCCCCTGAATTGCCTTGTTAGTGAATCCCAAACGTAGGTCAGACTTTAGATCATACTTATTTGCATCATGTCATTTACCTAGCAGAGCTCGATCTCAGGTACCGTGTCCCTTTGTATGAGGCCTATCCAAATTTTCTTAAAATGGACTCGTGGCCCAAAAAGACATTCAATTATCCCTATGTGATACATGTTGCATCTTTGAGGGTAGAAAGGTCATTTGGCAGACTGATGTTTGGGAAAGAAGGGTGAAAAAGAAGCAAGTAGGGCCCCATTATATTTTCTTTTACAACTTTTTCAAGAAAAAACAAAAAAAAATGAAAACAAAAATTCCAAAAAGATTTTGCACTTTTCATCATTTTCCAAAAATCAAAAAAGAGAGAGAGAGAAAAAGAAAATCCAAAAAGATTTTACATTTTCCATCAATTTTCAAAAAGACAAAAAATATAGTTTTTCCAAATTAGTTGTATTTTTTTCCAAAGCTTTCTTCCATGTCCAATTTTCCCGAACTACGCATACCTGATTCTCATCCTTAAGGGCGGGATACGTAGGCAACCGACATAGGGTCCGGTCTTCCTAGTAAGTCTTAGGTTCTTGGCTTCGCGGGGTCTTAGCCAAGTCTTGCATGTTTAGCCACTTTTGGCCACATCGGCCATTCTTGCAAATGAGGTAATTTTTGCAAAAGTGGTCCAATTACCCATATCTTAGAATCTTGAGTCCACAACTAGGTGTCATATTACTTTAAGGTCCGCCCTTTTTGAGTTTGCATCTTTAGCCACTTCTGGCCATATCGGTCATTTTTACGAAATGGGTCATTTCTGCAAATTAATTTTTGGGCCATGATTATTGAGAGTTGAATCCATATAAACATTAGTAAGGTATTTTCATATATGAGTAGTCACCCTTGTTGATTTTGCACTTATAGCCATTCTTGGCCACGCAGGTTAATTTTCAAAAAATAGCCCAATCATGTCTTGCATGTGTCCAACAAGAGGTGTTGTGGTGTCGCATAGTGTCTTGAGTCACTGATTTATTTAGTCTTATTTTTTTCATTCAGGTGTGGATCCATGTACCAGGACTCGAGCATGACAGATACCCTAGGACCACTGCCTTCAGGAGCTGCTTGAGGAGGCTTTTTTTTTATGTTTTTGAGTCTATTGTTCATGTTTTACTTCCTAGTCCTGTACAGTAGTATTCAGTAGTGTCAGAGTTGTCATAGTATAGTTTAGTTTGTTGAGTCTCTCATTATCTTACTTCCTGTTTTGTATTTGAAAATCAAAAAAAATTATAAATGAAAAATCCAAAAAGATTTTTGTTTCTTAATTTATTTTGTCCATTACTTTTTCAGAACTACGCTTGATCTGATTCATGAGGGACATGATATGTAGGAAACCTACATAGGGTTCGATCGAATCATCTTTAAAAAAACAAAAAAAAATGAAGTTGTGGGACATGAGAAATGAGAGAAAAGAAAAGAGCGATAATAAGAAAGAAAAGAGGGAAAAAGAAATAAAAAGCTAAGCGGTGTTAGAAAGGAAAATGGAGAAGGAAATGGGGCAAGAAGAGTGAAATTGGGATGATGCCAAATGACCTTGCGACCCTCGAAGCCATTCTAGAACCGTTAATTGTTGCTAGGGGCATTGCACGGAATATGATATTTCTATCTGATAAATGCCCTAACGCAAACATGTTGGCTTTGTTTTGCTCCCCTTTGTTACTTTCATGGTTATCGTAACAGAGGGTGGTTAGTTTGTGGCATTTTGGCGAGTCATCTGTACAATACAAGGTCAAAGAGCAGGGTAGACATGGCTAGCAAAGAAACGGGCATTGGGGTTGTAGACCCACCAAGGGAGATTGTAGAATCAGAATCGGAACTGAAAGAGGAGGTCCGAAGGTTGAAACAACAGATGGCGGAAATGTATCAGGCCTGGACTAAGGGACATCCTCCACCTTCATTCCCCACTAACTACACTAAAAATCTTGCAACTATCCCACCACTATCACAAGCCCAGGTTCCCACTACCATTGGCCTTTCTCCTCAACATGCACCGGGCTTTACCCCTTACCACAATTACCCTAACACTTCCTCCCAAACTTTCCATGCTGCACCAGCCAAAACAATCGCATTCCCAGCTCCAGTGCCACGACCTAATTTCCGAACCCGGTCGTGATGGCGCCTCTCGTGAAGACAAGGCCAGCCATACCAATCAGAACACCTCTTTTAAACAGTTAAATATCATAAATAGTTCTTAAGCATGATATAATATCCATAAATTGCGGAATTAACGATAACAACAGTAGAAACCATCCCGACACAGCCCAAACCGGGGTGTCACAAGTCATGAGCAACTAAGAAATCCGGATACAAGTCTACTGAACACTAAATTCGATACAATAGTTCTACAAACATGAAAATGATAAGATAAGGGAGACACGGGGCTGCGAACGCCAACAACTACCTCGTAGTCTCTGAATCACTACCTAAACTGGGAGAATCAGCACTCAGGAGTGGACTCTGCGATGCCTGAATCAGCACACATGGTGCAGGGAGTAATGCGAGTACTCCGACTTAGTGAGTAATAATTATAAATAATGGCTAAAAGTATGAAAACACGTAAAGGCACAAAGCAATTCCATATCAAGCAGTAAAATCACTTAAAGCAGTAAATCAGTAAAGAAATCAAATGATATTCCTTTTTAAAACAAGTAAAATAGGTAAATTAACAGGTAAATAACAAGTAGAAAATTCGCCCCTCGGGTACAGTATCAATCGCTCAGAATAGTATCAGCCCCTTGGGCTCACTCTCAGTACAGCATCAACCCCTCGGGCTCAGTATCAATCGCTCGGAACAGTATCGTCCCCTCGGGCTCACTCTCAAATTATAATGGGTACCCGCGCTCACTGTGGGTGTGCAGACTCCGGAGGGGCCCCTTACGGCCCAAGCGTTATATCAAGCCACCTCGTAGCATCATCACTCGGCACTCGACCTCACATCACTCGGCACTCGGTCTCACATCACTCAAGCCACCTCGTGGCATATAAAGTATCTCAGGACCTCGGCCTCATATCACTCAGCATATCCTTACATATGGCCCTCGGCCTTACTCAGTCCAAAAATCATCACAAGCCACTTGGGTATTAGTAAAACAGTAGTTCTCAGTCCAAAACATGATTTAGAAATATCATTTAAGTTTCAAATCTGAGTAAAACTGGCTGAGTTTGTAAAACAGTAGATATCAACAGGCTTGAGTTCAAATAATAAGTCAAGCTGTGAGGAAACAGTGATAAAAATCCCCGAAGGGTTCAAATAGTTGGAACGAAGCCCAAATATGGCAATCAGCCTAAATTATGATGATAACAAATGAATTTCAGTCAAATACGCGATAAAATCATCAACCGGGACGGATCAAGTCACAATCCCCAGTAGTAAAAGACCCCACGCTCATCATCCAACGTGCATCTTGCCTCAATATAGCACTACGATGTGCAATCCGGGGTTTCAAATTCTTAGGACATCATTTACAATCATTACTCACCTCAAGTCGGCCAAAACTCTAGTTCGCTATGCCCTTGCCTCTCAAATCGGCCTCCTCGTGCATCGAATCTGACCAAAACCACAACGAATACGTCACAATAGGCTAAGGGAACAATACCCAATCGAAAACAATCGAAAAATATTAAAAATCCCGAAATTGGCAATAACCCGAGCCCTGGTCCCACTTCTCGAAACTCAAAATTTTTTACATCATTATATTCCTTATCTCGCCACGAGTTCATACATATAAAAATCACAAGAATCGGAGTTCAATTGACCCCTCAAATACCTAATCTTAGCTCTCTTAACTTCAAGCCCTAACCTCCATTTTTAGTCCATGATTTTCTTAAATTTTCAGTCTTGATTCATGTAATAACACCACAGGATTGTGTTTTAGGTCCAAAAATCCTTACCTTATCGAAGCTCCTTGAAATCCCTCTTCGAAATCATCCAAAATTCTCCAAGTCCGAAGTTAGAAATGAGAAACCCTTCAAAATTTGCGAAGAAGAACTTAAATACTTTCTGCCCAGCCATAACCGCATCTGCGGTCAAATAGCCGCTTCTGCGGTAGATACTCTGCATCTGCGGAACCTCATTAAGTCCCGCCTGGCCGCATCTGCGGTCCAATAGCTGCATCTGCGGCTCCCTATCCGCATCTGCGGTCCCAACCAATCCTTGCCTTTTCTGGTTCTGCGACCCCCAACCCGCATCTGCGACACCGCACCTGCGGTCCCCAAACTGCAAGTGCAAAAATACCTAAAGCACCAGAAAATGTGCAACACAAGTCTAAACTCTTCCCGTTAGCCATCCGAAACCACCTCGAGGCCCCCGGGACCTCAACCAAACACACCAACGCATCTTAAATCATCATTCAAACTTTTTTCAATCATCAAATCACCTCGAAAAACACCAAAACCGTCAATTCACATCGAATTCAAGCCTAAGTTCTACTAAAACTTCCGAAATACGCATTCGATCAAAACCCGACCAAATCACCTCCGAACGACCTGATATTTTACACACACATCCCAAATCACCTAACAAAGCTACTACAACTCTCAAAATTCTGTTCCGACCCTCGGATCAAAATCTCACCTACCAACCGGAAATCGCCAAAATACTAACTTCGCCAAAACAAGCTAATTTCTACACCGGACCTCCAAAACCTCTTCCGATCACGCTCCTAAGTCACAAATCATCCCCCGAAGCTAACCGAATCACCGGAAATCACATCTGAGCCCTCTAACTCATAAGTCAACATCCTGTTGACATTTCCAAACTAAGCCTTCCTTAAAGAGACTAAGTGTCTCATTTCCTACCAAAACCAATCCAAATCGACTCGATCACACCAAGTACAGAATAAAGAAGCTGAAAACAGGGAAAACAGAGTGGTAACTCATGAGACGACGGGTCGGGTCATCACATCCTCCCCAACTTAAACAAATGCTCGTCCTCGAGCGAGTCAAGAAATATACCTGAAGCCTCAAACAGGTGAGGATATCTGCTCCGCATCTCCCGCTAGGTCTCCCAGGTAGCCTCCTCCATGGGCTGACCTCTCCACTGCACTTTCACCAAAGCTATATCCTTTGATCTCAATCTCCGAACATGATGACCCAAAATAGCCACTGGCTCTACATCATAGGTCAAATCATCATCCAACTGAACCGTGCTGAAATCCAAAACATGGGACGGGTCCCCAACATACTTTAGGAGCATAGAAACATGAAATACTGGATGCACACTCGACAAGCTGGGTGGCAAGGCAAGCATATAAGACATCTCCCCAATCCTCCGAAGCACCTCAAAAGGCCCAATGAATCGCGGACTCAACTTCCCTTTCTTTCCAAATCTCATAACACCCTTCATGGGTGAAACCTTCAGAAAGACCTTCTCGCCAACCATGTAAGATACATCTCGAACCTTCCGGTCCGCATAACTCTTCTGACGCGACTGCGCTGTACGAAGTCTCTCCTGAATCAACTTCACCTTATCTAAGGCATCCTGAACCAAATCTGTCCCCAATAACCTCGCCTCGCCGGGCTCAAACCAACCAACTGGAGATCTACACCGTCTCTTATACAATGCCTCATATGGGGCCATTTGAATACTGGACTGATAGATGTTGTTGTAGGCAAACTCTACAAGAGGCAATAACTCATCCCAAGAACCTCCGAAATCAATAACACAGGCATGCAACATGTCTTCTAATATCTGAATAGTATGCTCGGACTGCCCGTCTGTCTGCGGATGAAATGTTGTGCTCAACTCCACCTGAGTACCCAACTCCCGCTGAAAAGTCCTCCAAAACTGAGAAGTAAACTGAGTACCTCTATTTGAAATAATAGACACTAGCACACCATGCAATCGAACAATCCCCCGGATAAAGATCCCTGTTGGCCGCTCCGAAGAATAGGTAGTACATACCAGAATGAAGTGCGCGGACTTGGTCAGCCGATCCAAAACCACCCAAATAGCATCGAACTTCTTCAAAGTCCGAGGAAGACCACTCACAAAATCCATAGTGACTCTCTCCCACTTCCAGTTGAAGCAAGCCACCTGGTCTCTGATGCTCGTATTTCACCTGGTGACAATTGAGACACCGAGCTACATACCCCATAATATCCTTCTTCATTCTTCTCCACCAATAGTGCTGCCTCAAGTCCTGATACATCTTCGCGACACCCGGATGAATAGAGTACCGCGAGCTATGGGCCTCCTCCAGAACCAACTCCTTAAGCCCATCCACATTGGGCACACAGATCCGGCCCTACATCCTCAATACACCAT